AAAAAAAAAAAGGACAAAAAGGGAGACAATATTAGTATCATTTTGTGTTTTAATACAAGTATTACTAATACATGTATAAGTTATTCCACCTTCTACCCTGCATAAATAATGCATAGATTCCCTCATAACTTATACATGTATTAGTTATGCGGAAAAGAAAAACATGAACCAAACATTGTATTAGCAATGCTACATTTTATGTGGAAAAGAGGAAAAAAACAACCAAACATTGTATAACTTATGATAGCTTCTATGTGGAGATTATTTGTTCCCCTTCTTTTAACCAAACAATGTATAAAGTTATCCTAGTTTTAATACATGGATAACTCCTCTCTAACCGGCTACCAAACGACCCCATAGAGCGCGAACAACATAACATGGGAGCCACGCATTAGGGAAACCAAGAATAAAGTGAGTCTGACTCTGATACCATATTAAATTGTGACCATCTCATCTAAAAGCTTAAATTAATAGAGAGCGCGTTTTTTTACTTAATTATGTTTCAACGCACCCCTCATGTGCGGGCCTGACTTTTTTCATATGCCCAAAAATTCTTTTTGATAATGAGTGAACATATAGAGCATGAACAGCATAACAAGGGAACACTGCATAAGGGAAACCAAGAATAGAGTAGAGTCCGACTCCGATTAGTCCGATACCATATTGAATTGTGTGACCATCTCATTTAAAAGTTAAAGTTATTAGAGAATGCACATTTTTATTTACTTAATTACTTTTCAACCAATATGCCCAACAATTTCCATCTGAAACAATATACATCACATATCTAACATGGACTGCAAATGAACGTGTCCTACTACCCAAATTAAGGAGGAGAAAACTCTGAATATAGGTCTAGATCTAAGCACATTTTGGAATCTGCCGACTCAGAATGAGTGATTTTCTATATGGATCTAAATAGCTAATCATGTGGTTCGGAAATAGCTAAATTGCATAAAGACTGCCAACCTGTTACGGTCCCCATGCACAACAACAACAACATACCCAGTATTATCCCGCACCGCACTGTGGAGTATGGGGAGGGTAGTGTGTACACAGATCTTACTCCTACCTTGTGAGGATAGAGAGGCTATTTCCAATAGACCCTCGACTTAGGAAAGCATAAGCACCACATTAATGAAACGGTCCCATACACATAAAGTAATATTTGTGCATCAAAGTTACAACAACAAAATATTCTCTAAAGTGGCTAAATGGACCAGGTGGGCACATGAACAAGCGAAACAAACATGCTACGATTTAAAAAAAAAAAAACTACTTGTTGAGTATAAGGAAGCAATTAATACACCTCAGAATCAACTTTCATATGGCAGGTTCGGTCATATAGAATGGGACCATGCCCATTAAAAGATGAAGAATGACAAAGACAAATTATGTGTTTTGGCAAAGTTTAAAGAATATTCGTCTGTAAAAGTATAAGCTTATGTGTTGTATTCAGCTTCATGTCAAACACTTGCAGATGTTTCTTTGTCAAGTCGTTTTACTCCTTTTAAGTTTGCCTTGCAAGAACACTTCTACTTAGCTCTATGGAAACCAGAGGCTCTGACCACCACCAAAACTTTGAGATAGTCTTTGACTCTAGTGACTTTAACACACAACTGGTTACAAGTACACAAATTGAATAAGGCTCTTTACTCATTTCTGTTTCATGCGTAAAGACAATGGTAAGAATCATAATCATCTGTTCTGACTTCTGGTAAGCACTCTTTTCCCCATGATTGTAGAAGGGATCCTATTGGTAATATAGGGACGCTTCAGCATTCCAGCTATTTCTAGATCAACTGGCCTGAATTGAAGTATTTAGGTTCGGGAAGAAAAGAGTAAGGTAAAATGTTATGGAGCATTGTTTTCTCGGCAGTCGGCAATGATTGGGTAATTTCATGCCACACAAACATTTTTTTTTTAATGATGGGAGTCTCCGGGACAGCTTGTGAGCATCTCGACTAATTCCACCGGGTACATGCTACCTCTCACCAACACAATTCTCATGCCACACTAACATGTAAAGATAGTTCAACATTTGCTGCAAGTCAATTGCATTAGAGCGGCAAAAAGTGGTTTTTTATTGTGCTTCAAGAGTAATTGTAGTTTTCTTATTTAGCAAAAATGAGTAACTGTATTCTTGTTGATGCTGCAAAACCAGCTAGTATAAGACATCTAGTCCATCCTGGGTTTCAGTTCCTTTCCACACTAATGCAGATTGAATCTTCTTTTCCTGAGCCTTGGTGTAACCGGTAAAGTTGCTGCCATGTGACCAGGAGGTCACGGGTTCGAGCCGTGGAAACAGCCTCTTGCAAAAATGTAGGGTGCGTACTGTTAGTTTATAGATATGTATAGTGTAGTCTTGTCCCACATTGGAAGAGGAGTAATATCTCCTTGTAGTGTATAGCTATGCTATAAATAGGGACCTCTTGTATTATATTTATCATCCAATATCAATAACATATTTTCTCCCGTGCCTTCTCACATGGTATCAGAGCATTAGTGAGAAAAGATCGTTGTGCGTCATTCCAGCGTTAACCGGGAAGAAAGAACTTAGTCATCGTGTAATTTTTCCGGTGACCTAAGGCTTGTCTAAGTGAAAGTCACTTTCTGTCGGTGTTGTGCTAAAACCAACACCACCACGAGGTAGATCACCCTCCGACTACCACCCCTGAAATTTTATCCGGCAGAAAAGCCGCCACACTCCTCCACGCGCCGGCAACAACTTTTCCGGCGAGGGTTCCGNCGGTGACCTAAGGCTTGTCTAAGTGAAAGTCACTTTCTGTCGGTGTTGTGCTAAAACCAACACCACCACGAGTTAGACCACCCTGCGACTACCAACCCCTGAAATTTTATCCGGCAGAAAAGCCATCATGCTCCTCCACGCGCCGGCAACAACTTTTCCGGCGAGGGTTCCGGCCATTTTTTCGCGAAGCTTCTTCAGAACAGTGTGCTCTCCTCAAAATTCCGAGCCTACCCATCTAATTCAAATCATATTCCGACCACTTTTATATTTTTTCCGGCGTAAACAGTGACCTTTCTGGCCATTTTTTGAAAATATTTCTTCAGGACAGCTTGCTCGCAAAGGAATTCCGAGTCTATCCATCCTAGTTACAACAAATTCCGACAACTTTGAAATTTTCCGGCGAGCTACAGTGTTTCCGGCGTGAACATTGTTTCCGGCACAGAACAATGTTCTGTTTTCCTGCTGTAAACAGTGCTTTTCAAGCTATTTCTTCAGTTTTCTCACAAGAATTACTTATTTCCACTATTTCAAGTCAACCCTACTACTACAAATTGTAGCGACATGGGAACCGATACTTTGAATAGTCGGATGGTTTCTTTAGCAGAGTATATTGAGTTCCTTCAGTATAAAGCATGTAAGCAGACATCTTTTGAGATAGCTTCTGTTGTTCAAACAGGTAATAACGTGACTTGTTTCTCCCAATCTTCATCCTCCGAGTCTTGGGTCATTGATTCAGGTGCATCAGATCATATTTCTGGTAACAAATCTCTTTTCACTACTATTTCGTATTCTCAATCTCTTCCAAAAGTCACAATGGCCAATGGGTCTCAAACCATGGCAACTGCAATAGGTC